AATATTGTGAGCTTATTACCTTAAATATACATTTTAATTGGCACTTACTTGACATATTTAAGAAATATCATAACTTCCTAATGCCCACTGGAGATGGAGCTCTTGTACCCTTGGCTTGCAACTGGACTCCTAAGCAACATCAGCTCCAGGTTCAAGTCCCCATTCAGCCATGAAGTCACCTTTACCCATCCTAGCCTACTTGATGTCAGAACAAAATGAGTAAGAACAGTGTGTGTTGCCCTGAATTCCATGGAAGGCAAGGAACAAACAAAAAGCATTCTGGGCTCAGTGACCATTGCTTCTTGCAGGCTTAGGTTCGTGCTGTTCTTACCTAACAAAACAATCATATGCATGCCTACTCTTGCTGCCAGGAAAAAGGGTACACCTGGGTTCTTAATAGCTTCTCAGTGGATAAATCTATTGCACCCAGGCCTAACCCATATCACAGCAGAGCCATTATACTTTTTTTTTACACATGTGGAGATTTCCCTGTTTCCATACCACCTTGTTTAAAGAGAAACACAAAGTGCTCAGTTGTATTTTTCTTCCCAAGACTGCAAAACATGCAAACACCTTGCATTTTAATGGCACAGAAAATATGGCACAAGAGTTCTAAGTTATACAGTGGCTCTAGCCATTGAATAGTTGTAACTGATGAGAGGTTTCCATGTCATCTCCCCACAGAAGCCAACAGTGGAGACTGTATTCTTTTGCCTTTTATTTTGGCAAACTTTTAGTTACAGCTATTATTCAGGATACTGCTGTTCTACCTCAGCCTGCTACTTCTGAAAGCTTGAGGTCTCTTCTAGTGATTTTTACCCAAAGGGAAAATGCAGAGTGGCAGTTGTGTGGTTTTCTTACCATACCCTGGATACTGGAGGACTAGTTTTTGGTGGGAAACATCTGATCCCTGAATGCAGTTTCTAAGGAGCAAACATTAAGCAACTGTGAGTGGGTTCAATATTGGGAAAACCCCATTCCCCTTTTTGTTCCCCAAAGAGTGGAGACAGATCTTCTTGATAAACATTTTTTTTCAAACACTGGAGAACCAGGAACAGCAACTTCAGTTGGACCAACAGATCCCTCATTTTCCCTGCATTCTACATAACAGTCCCTCAACTCAGGTGTTGCAAGAGAGTTCACCATCGGGGATTCACTCCAAACTGTTTGAAATCTGTGGGTTTTCTCGTGGGCCTCCTCACACTGCGACCTATGGTACTGCAACAGGGGCGTTGAGCCCACTCTCCCTCCGAGGGTATTTCTGGGTGAGACATCACCACCAGTTTGGCCCCCTTCTTCCATTGGTCTTCCTTTTTGGGATAGATAGATATCTACCGTCCATTCCATGGGTTCTGCTTCCCCCAGCTGTACCTCAAATCCTTCCTTTCTGAAAGGAAACACAAGTGTTGATAAGGTGAATACAGTATCTAGAAACAGCAGTTACAATACAGTCCTATCTAGTCCAATTCCATTAATCCGTACTGAGGCAGGAAATTTGATTGTCTTTAATGGGCCAAAGAAAATAGAAAATATCACTGCTTTTGTTTGTGACTTCATGGTTACCTTTGGTTGGCCTTTAGCAGTCTGTAAAACTTGAAGAATTTATGTCATCAGAGACTGGACATCATCAAGGAGTAAACCTGTATTGTTTGCCAACATTAACTTCCAGTACCTAGTCCACTTTTTACGTGCGTGCATGTGGGTCTGGTCTCTGGATGCCTGTTACCTAGTCCACTTTTTACGTGCATGCATGTGGATCTGGTCTCTGGATGCCTGTATGAATTTCATTGTATGGGTTTACCATGTATATACTTACAACAACAACAACAACAACAACAACAACAACAACAACAACAACAACAACAACAACAACATAATAATAATAATAATAATAATAATAATAATAATAATAATAATAATAATAATAATAATAATAATAATAATAATAATAATAATAATAATAATAAAGCATTATTATGTCATTGGCCTCTTATGGAGGGCTTTGAAAAGTAGTTAACAATTTCTGTCGCTTCACACAGCCCATTTTTTTTGTTTTGCTTTGACAAACACTTACCCCTGTGATAGGGGAAAGGGAGAGCTTTTTACAGGGAACATTTTATACAGGCTTGCAAAATAATCCTTCTCCCTGCCCCTGCAGACATTTACTTGCTGGCTGTGTTTTGCATTACCCAATGAGCCTTTCTGGGGAGACAAGATAGATGCAGTTTTGAGTTCACTGTGGGGGAACTTGCTTTATGTAAAATGAGGTACGTAAAGTTTATGCCTTTCCAACATTCAGTAGGGCTGTGGGCTACCTTGTGTAAAACCAAGACTGCATCATGTGAGAAGACCCATTTCTTTATCCTCTTCCATTAATTTCCTGAAGCAACAGATAGACAAGAAAGACTTAAAGTAAACTCATCTCCCCCTGTAACATGTTGCCAGATGAAGAGATAATATTCTAGAACCCCAGCACATCCTATGCCTTTTTGACGGAGCTATGAAGCAATTGCCTGAGTATGGAGCTCAGTATAATTCTAATCACAGATATGGAATTCAGTTCTTGATTTTGAACATCCACTTTTTGTTGCATTTGTTGTGAGAAATTGATTAAAGTCATTATCAAACCTAAAATGAACTGAATAGCTCAGTGGTTTAGGTCTCTAGCTGCAAAGCCAGAGGTTGGGTGTTTGATTTCCCACTGGGCCTCCTCGACAGGGCCTGGACTCAATAATCCATATACTGTAATCCTTTCCAGCTCTTCAGTTCTATGATTATTGATATTTATTGGCATTTATTGATTCTCAAGCCTGGAGACATTCATGTTGATGCTTAATATCCAACTTGAGAGTCTGCAGACCTTCTTGGACCATCTTTCTTAATATGCAAAGTACTTTGAGATCAAATAATTCTTTCTCAGCCAGCTTTTTTTTTTTTAAACATCACACCTAACAAAGTGACTTGGAGAGCTTGAAAATTTGAAGAGGACCTCCAAAGCTTGCAGCAATTGGGGTGGTGGTGGATACAGATGTAGTAAATATATAATCGTGACTTAAATGAATCCACTCTGGTTCTTCAGGTAAAAGTTCTCATTTTTTTTCTTTGCTCAACTACCTCAACAGTTACAACAATGTGCTTGCAAAAAGCTGGCTGAGATGGAGTTAAGAGGAGCCACAGACTGGACGGTTCTTCCCATCCTGCAGCAGGAGGGCGAGCTGCTGCAGAGGAAGAAATAATGCCAGGCTTCTCTCTCTCTGTCTGTCTTCCCCTCCCCTCATTCCTGCTCGAAGGCCCCTCTCCTTCCACCCCGTTGCCAGGCAACCCGCGTCCACAGCCTGCGACCGGGGAGGGCCGTACCGGAAACCTTGCCTGGGCGCTGAGCGACGCCGCTCCGACTCTGCGCCTGCGCAGAGAGACGACGACGACGACGAGAGCGTCACGAGCTCGGGCGGGGGAAGAGAGCGGATGGCCAAGCCACACGCACGGAGCGTCGGCACAAGGGTGCCCCTGGGGACGTGAAGAGTGCGCTTCCAGGGGGCAGCTGTTCGGGTGACTTCAGCTACGGAGCACCCCGCTCGCAATGCAGCTCAGGGCAGCAGGGGGTGGGGCGGAGGGCCCCCCCACTGAGAAAGCGGGACGTGTCTGATTGCTAGGCAACGGGTTGGCTCTTCCATCCTTCGCGCGGGAACTCTGTCGCGCGGCCGTTCTTGCACGAAAGCGAGAATGGCGGGGGAAACATCCGAGCGGGAAGGGGGTTGCACGGGCAGATGGATGCAAGCTAATCCGCTAGGAGAAGGAGCCCTGCCGAGTCTTGCTGCCTTGGCAGCCGGCGTGAGGAAAGCGGCTGGGGTGCTGGAGTGGAAGAGAGGCTCCTCCAGCTTTTTGGGGGGCCTGAAAGACTGAGGGCTGGACGGTCCGGGGTGCTCCGCCGCCTTTCCCAGGACTTGGGCGAGGAGGCCGTGACTGCTTGCCAGCTGAGAGCGACTTGGGGCCGCCTGTGAGTCTGGGTGGTCTCAAGGCCTTGCAGACCCGGAGGAGGGGACGAGGGGCAGGAAGGTGGGGGTGCACCTCTTCCAGGAGCGAGCTCAGCACCGAAACATTTCCCTTGCTCTGTCCCAATGAGCTGCTACTGGTGGAGCAGCAACAGCAGCCACAAAAGGAGGATACCCTGGCCCTCCTGGGGAGTGCAGGGGATCTAAGAAAGTTCTGTAAGTGTGCAGGTTCTTGGCAGTGTGGAAATGGATGAATTAAATAGCTATGCAGAAGAAAAAGTTCTGGGACCTACAGACCAGAATTAGATTCAGGTCTCCCCTCAGTAGATCACCCCTTATTGCCTAGTGCTCCTCAACTGGCGCTTACTGTCTCAACTCACTCAGACATATTGGTAAAAGAAAAGAATAAAAAGGGTTCCATTTACTTACAGTTCTGATTAGATCAAAAACAAACAGCATTCTGTAAAAAATAGTGATTGTTATATGAATAGAGTTTAACTGGCTAACCAGCTTTATAGTCTGCTTACCAACTACAGTGGTGCCTCGACTTACGAACTTAATTGGTTCTGGAATTCAGGTTGTAACTTAAAATAGTCGTAAGTGGAAGCACCATATCCCATAGGAATGCATTGAAATGCAATTAATCTGTTCTGGCCGAAGAGAAAGATCACCAAAAAAAACACTGCAAGACCCATCTGAAACACAATTCGTTCTGGGGGGGGGGAGAAAAGCAAACTGCAAGACCGTTCAGAAATGCGAAAAAGCAAACAAACTGTGCAAAGCCCATCGGAAATGCAAAAAAAGTAAAGCAGAAAGCAAACAAACCATGCAAGACCCATTGGAAATGGGGAAAACGTAAAGCAGAAAGCAAACAAACCATGCAAGACCCTTCGGAAATGCAAAACAAGGCAAAGCAAAAGGCAAACCCCGCAAGACCCATCAGAAATGCAAAAAAGAAAGGCAGAAAGCAAGCAAAC